AGTTATCAAATCTAAAAAGAACCAAAAAAAGGATAAATTCATAATATTTTCATAATGCTTAGAAAAAACATTTGTAATGTCGTGCAGTAACGTCGACATAAAGTGTTATAAATGTCGTGCAATCAACGTTTGCATAAAGTGCAGTATTTTGAAACGAAAGTAGTGCAAAAATGCACCTTTTGTGAGGGTATTTCCGTCCATTGCCATTTGCATATGATGAGATTTTTTTTAGTCATACGAATGTCTAAAACAAAGACAGTCACATTTCAGGAAACTCAATATCTTTTTGTTATATTTCGGCATATATAATAGAGCATTGCTGAAGTGCTTACGACCACACGAGGCCGATATGATCGTCGTGGAGCTCCATGGTGGTGTGTGTTCGGCCCATCATGGAGCATGCAACTTGGCTAGGAAAGCTATCCTCCAAGGATACTTGTGGCCAACGATCATGAAGGATTGCGCCGATTACGCAAAGAAGTGCAATACCTGCCAGAAATTTCGGAGGAGCCACAGATGGTTGGCAACGATGTACACGCCTATTAGCACTGCTCTACCATTTACACGGTGGGGATATAGATTTGGTTGGTCCCTTAAAATGGGTCGGGAAATAGAAAGTTTGTCATCATGGCCGTGGATTACTTCACAAAGTGGGTGGAGGCGAAGCCGCTCACCAGCATAACACATCTGCAGTGCAAGAAGTTTATCTCGAATAATATCTTCTGCTGCTTCGGAGTTCCTCTGCAAATTATTTCCGACAATGGAAGACAGTTCGATTGCGAACCATTCAAGCAGTTCTGCGCCGAGTGGGGCGTGCAGTCGAGCCAGGCATATGTTTGCTATCCCCAGACAAACGGACAGGTGAAGAATACCAATTTCTCGATCATAGATGGCCTCCAGAAGAAGTTGGAAGCTCTTGGAACCATGTGGGTTGAAGAGCTAAATAACGTGCTATGGACGTTCCAGACCACTCTAGGAAGGCGACAAGGAAGACTCCTTTCGCTCTGTGTTATGGCTTCGAGGAGAGGGCTCCCTTCAAGATAGTGATTCCCAGCTGACGGCTGGAGTATTTTGAGCCACCTAGCAATGATGAGAGGCTCAGAGCTGAACTCCACCTCATAGAAGAAAGAAGAGACTGGGCATTTGTCTAGGCTGAGAATTACCATAGACAAGTGAAGGCGTACCAAGATAGCAAGGCAGTGCCACAGAGTTTTGACGTAGGAGATTACGTGCTGAGGCGGAGGAAGGCAAGCAAACCAACAGAAAGGGGAAGCTTTCCATCAAGTGGGAATGCCCCTTACATTGTTGAAGCCGTGATTGGACCAGGAACTTATAAATTGAAGACTACGACAGGAAAATTTATTGATCGTGTATGGAACATAGAGCATTTACTTACGTTTTATATATCAGTAGTGATGTGTAATAGTTAATCCTTTCATTCCTTAAATAAAAATTCATTTTTCTTTCTTCAATATTGAATCGGATGAGGCCTGACCTCACTTAGGAACGAACGGGCAGGGGCTGAAAAAATTACTAATCACACCCCGCTATCGGTGCTAAGTTGACCACGGCTCGATCTTCGGGCAAGGAAATGATCAAACTATTTTCTAAGTCCAGAATTAGCTGCTCGACCAGGGCGACCGTTAGAGCGGCCTCTGAGTTGAAAAGGTATGCAAGATGTCGTGCCCCGAGCCCCTCTCATACATCTGTTGTCCGACGTTGCTGTCTAAACATCTTGCACACTCGTTTGATATAATTGACGGTGTGGCGAATATATGACTGGCCTCCGAGCCGAGGGTATGTGAGAGGTCATGCTCTGAGCCCCCCCCCCCCCCCCCCCCCCGTACATCCGTTGTCTGACATTGCTATGCTTAACAACCCACATACTCATTTGATATGGTCAACGGTGTGGGTCCGTTTTGGTCTGACCATGCAGGGCCTTGCCCTTACGTTTGGCCAACTTCAGTTTGACTTTCAGAAAGGGATAATTAGATTTTTCCTAAGTATGACATTATTTGTACAAGTCAAGGTGTAGGATCGGCCTCCGGGTCAAAGGTATGCGGGGAGTCGTACTTCGAGCCCTTCTCGTACATCTGTCGTCTGAACATTGGCCAAACGACTTGCTCTCTAGTCGGTCGTCCGCCCGACGCTGAATCTGGACCGACTGACGTTGAGCCTCGTCAACCTGGTGCCGGAGCCCCTCACGCTGGCGATCTATCGCTTGAAACACGGTAGTTAAATCCATTGGTCCCTACAGGAAACATGTGATTAGTGATAGAAAAGTAAGACAATACGCAAAAGGCAGGGGTAATATGACCTACCGCGGTGTGAGATTCGATAGCACTGCGGAAGATACCACGGTGCCACCAAGTTAAAGAGATTGGAAGATATCGGATAATCACAATTCCCGGAAATCAAAGATGGAACTATGCCTGCTGCCCACACCACATCCGAGATCAATGGAATGATGGGAGTGGGAGTCAGATTACCGACAGGAGGAGCTCTACATTTTCTCTCCGTAATAAATGAAATTGCCTCGGACTTCGAGGGCCGAGACTTGGCATCTTCCTCCGCGGCCAAAACAGCGAGTGTGCCCCACCTACCTTCAACCTCTGCAAGAAAATAAATGGGGTGAATTGGACTTGTACTGGTTGGATTATTTCTCTGTTCCCAGCTTAAGCGGAGAATTTGCACATTTCTTCTGCTTGACAACTTGGTCTCCGTGAGGCGGGGAAGCTCTGCGCTTTCCCCCGATATCTACCTTCGACATGCTTGCATCGGACGGACCCTCATTTGCAACAGGCATCGAGGGCTAGGATGTAGCTTCCTGCACCGCAACTAAGGGAGTGAATGTGTCGGTCCTACCTAACTTACCTGCAAGAAAACAGATGGGGATGAGATGGGGTCATATTGGCTGAGTTGTCTCCTCTTATTCGACCTGGAAAGGTGTTCGCACCTTTTCCATTTTCTGCAACCTGCTCTTCATGAGATGGGGAAGACCTGCGCTTCTCCCCAAGATCGAGTAGACCCGTACCTGCACCAAACGCTGAAGGTAGGAGCGTGGCCTCCAGCGACGCCGTCGGTGCGGCAGGTTCATCTCCATTTCCGCCCATACCTGCAGCAAATTAACAATGTAAGGAATGATAATATGTAATATTTGTGACCTACTAAGACGGAGAAGCTACCTATATACTCCGTACAAGTTAATTGGGAAAGGGGCCCCTTGAAACAAGGTGTCGATCTCCCCCTCTAGATCCCCCAAGTGAACGTGATGGGGGACGAGATGGGAGCTGACGCCCACACCCAGTTATTTTGCCACGTCCTGGGTACAGGTCAAATAGCTTACGACGTGATGATTAATAAAATGATACGAACCCATCATCATCTATTTTACAGTTAAGACAATTCCTCCTAAAACACTAACGTAACAGGGGTATGGACAGCCGAATAGCAACCCTCTTACATTGAGAATCAAAAGAGGCCGTGAACATATGCGCAGTTGGGGTCATCTGGCTCGGCGATATCCCGAGATGGGTGAGGAGTGCCACGAGAAAGGGACACAATGGCACCTGCATGGCTGTAACGCAGATGAATAGCGGGGGCTTATGCGTGCGGCAATAAATTAGGGCTGGGATGCGGACAACATGCGCTCGAGTATTTCAAAATTAAAGAGAATGGTGATATTTAAGAAAAAATAGGAATAGCTCAGAGCTATTTTGGAATTAAGTTGAAGAGAAGCTAACCTGGGCCGTTTGAACTTGGAAGAACGCTAAGTATGGGATATGCAACTAAAGGCTTGAGTCTATTTGATGTGAGGTTATTATACGGCTATGAAAGGCCCGCATTTCAAAATTCCAGGCCCAAATTGTCGAAGTTGATACAAAACATTATGTACCGTCGGGCCAGAGGCGACTCCGCCCCCCGGACCCCAGGTCAGGGGGCACATCGCCTCCCTGGATCCCCCTGACTCGTTAACCGGGCAACGAGACTCCTGTCCTTTTGCAAGTGGTAGGGATCAAAGCAAAAAGGTATGTCAAGACCCGGGGAAAATAGCCTTCCTTGTTTTATTTTGAGGCACCCGTGTACTCTTTTCCCTTCACTAGGATTTTTTTTCCCGCTTGGTTTTTCGTAGTAAGGTTATGACGAGGCACCCCCTCATGATGAACAAAAGGAGATGTCGCCCCGACCAGAGCGACAAAGACCACGGGCTGTTAATCAGACAACCAAGACCCCGACCTATTATCCAGACCCGATAAATCTCATTTTTACAAGTAGTGGGACCATAAAAGAGTTCCAACCAGCCAACCAGTCTGATAGCCTAGCCGGTTTCAAAGCAGGTCAACTACTCCCTTTTAGCTGAGTCTACTACTCGACTAAGGGAGTGGGGGACTCGTGTTAGGATAATGGGTCGATCCAATTCTATCAGCCCACTATACCTAAGCATGGTCCTAATAACTTGGCGCGGAACACAGTCCGACTAGAGAAGATAAATTTGAGATTATTTATTTATCTGTTGGGCCGGTTGGCTCATGAGTGTGAGTGCTAGTTGTTTAATTGGGCCAAGCCCATTAGCCTTAATGCTTAAGCCTCTTGTAAGCGCCTATAAATAGACCGTCCACTCTTTGTATTAGGGCACCAATTTTAATATACCAAATTGTTGTCGATTAAAGATTTATGAATATTCATAATTTAATTTTTAAAAAAATAACCTGCTATAGCAGGTCTAAGGGCTTTTTTTTTGTATTTTAATAGTAGACGTAAAGGGACTTTAGTACAAGGACTTTAGTGACAGATTGGAAATAGTAGAGGGACTTAGTTGATTTTTTTTCCAAAATTGTGTACTTTCAACAAAGTTAAATTTTATCTGCCATGAAATTTTTAATTATGATATCATAATATACCTCTCCGAATATTTTGTTATTTATAATTGATTTTATTTAATATGATCTTGTGTAGATCAGAATTTTCAATCAAGCTAACTATTCAATATTCTCTTGCAGATCCCCTATACCTTTCCGACAACCCTTGCATGTTATTGTTGGCAGACCCATTCAAGTCAAGAGGAATCCACTCCCTCCATGTAAAGAGGTAATACGAAGTATATATCAAAAAATTACTTCAGATCAGAGTTGTATATTAACAAGTCTCAGCGGATAAATAAATATAAAAAAAAAAAAGTAGTGCATGACAATGTTTAAGTTTATTAGTTAGAAATTTTGATCAGTCATTTCTTCAGTAAACTGAAACATAGTTGCTCTGTTTTAATTTTGTTTTTCAAATGTAAAGCTCACACGAGTAAAATATAAACTGTTGAACTACTATATACAAGATCATGAGAATAAAAGTATCAGCGATCACATCCCATGAGAACAAGATCTCAATCTCAAATGAAGTTCTATTGACTTCTCGGAATTATTTTTTTCTAGGGAGGTTTCATCTATTGCAATTAGGGTTGGTATATTTATGTAGTTAGGGCTGCTTTTGTTTTTTCTTTATTTTCCTTTGTTTTCTTAAAAAAAACTATATACAAGATCATGAATTACTCTAATGAGATTCACGTTTTAATATGAACACAGTCAGGGGCGGAGGTGGAGGGGTGGCCAACTGAGCCACGACCCAGCCCAAATTTTAAAATTGCTTATATTTTTAATGTAAAAAGTTCTTATTCATTTTCATTTTCATTTACCCCAGTGCCACAAAGGCTCCCACCTACGGTGGGGTAAGCGGGGTCGAATGTACACAGTCTTATCTCTGTACTAAAGTACAAAGTGACTGTTTCCAGATGACCCATTGTGAAAATCGGGTCCAAAACTGCTGCTTCATAACAAAGAAGCGCAGACAATTTAGTTAGTCATTTTGCTTTATTCCATCATATTCTCACAAGCCAAAAAATAATGAATCATTGGTTCCATTGCAAATGATGAAAAATTTAATGTAAAAAGTTGTGTGTAAAAATTTATTTGTAAATTTTTTTTTTATTGGCTCAACCCAACTTATACTCCTAGCAATGCCCCTGAACAAAGTAATGATTGATTCCCAAGAAATATGAAAACAAGTAATGATCGGCGGGGGTGTTTTCTCATAAAGCGGGAATGCAATGCATTAGCTTCCTAAATACCGGAGTTTTATTAGATTTTCTGAAAACACGGGAAACATGTTTCTCTAATTGGAAAATTTTAGGTATAGCTGGGAGACCTAGGAAAAGTTAAAAAAACGGATTCTATGAATCCGAAATGTGGTTTTAATTATTTTTAAAACATACTATCTCAGTTCTGAAAAGGTTTGCCAAATTTCCTTTTTTGGATGTCCCAAAAAGATTTGTCATTTCCATTTAAAGTAAGGAATATGTGGCTAAAAATAATTCTCTCTCTTCTGCACAAATTTCAACCACACAGTTTTTACTTTATTAATCCACGTAAAAGTCAAAATTGACGAACCTTTTCAGGACGGAGGGAGTAGGTATGTTGAGTAGGTTGACTAAGTTAAGTGGGGAATCTCAAGTTGAATGGACTCTCAAGTTCAATAGGTTTTTTTAATGATTTCTTACGTTTTTTAGATTATTTAGTTACCTTTTTTTTCAAATAGGAAATCACAAATATTTCAATAAAAATATGAACAAAAATAAATAAATAAATAAATAAATAAATAAATAAATAAATAAATAAATAAATAAATAAATAAATAAATAAATAAATAAATAAATAAATAAATAAATAAATAAATAAATAAATAAATAAATAAATAAATAAATAAATAAATAAATAAATAAATAAATAAATAAATAAATAAATAAATAAATAAATAAATAAATAAATAAATAAATAAATAAATAAATAAATAAATTATTGATATTTGTACTGATTACATTTTAAACATGGTTCAGGAATCCGAATAGTGTTTTTTTAAGGGAAAGTTCCCGAAATAGGACTAAAAAAGTTTGAAAATTCCAAAATAGGACTGTCATGTTTTTATTCCTAAAATAGGACTAATTACTGCCAAATTTGGAAAATACTGCCATGTTTGAAGTCTGGTACTGCCAAAACATGACAGTAATTAGTCCTATTTTGAGAATAAAAATATGAAAGTCCTATTTTAGAATTTTCAAACTTTTTTAGTCCTATTTTGGGTAATATCTCTTTTTTTAAACATGCCTAAGCTATGTACGTAGTGTCGGTCCTGTCTATTTTCGGACCTATGGACGGGATAATATTTTGGGATTATATTCAACACAAATAATAAACTATATTTATTTAAAATAATAATTATAATAAAATAATCTAATAAAGGTCATTAAATAAAATTGAAACTCATTTTTATTATTATTATTTAAATTACATATTTGGTGAAAGACAAGTATCACATAAAAAGAAAAACATTACTTAAAAACGTTTCTCACGGAATTATCGAAATTCAATTTCTCAACAAAAACAAAATATTCCATTGATGCCTACTAACTTAACCCTGTCTTTTCTAATCTTCTTCTCTTTCTATCTTTATCACAACCTGATTCATCAATTTTATCAAGAATAATTTATTGATCATGGATGGATTGTTTGAAGCCTGTAAAGAAGAAGTTTTTTTTTTTATCACCGACCGTCGTTTGGGCTCCTTGATTGATTAGCTTCAATTCTTAACAAATCGTTGAGGCACTCACCGCTTTGTAGCATTCTTTATTCTTGTTAACAAGAATATGTTCATCTCCGTCGGTCCATATGATTTCGCTGATAACAATTTCTTCATCTTTAAGTTTGTTTTAAAATGCCATTTTCACGGCAGTTTTCTCTTCAAAATGCCATTTTTTCCTTTTTGAAATGGCATTCTCGATTCATATTGGCATTTTGATAAAAGTGTTGGCAGTAGCAGCGGAGGCGGTCAGATGTGGATCGCCGGAGGCTGATCTGCAGTGGTGGCGGCTTGTTTGTAAGAGTGGTGGGGGGCGGTGGTCAAATCTAGCTAGATCTACGGTAGTTGGCCAAATCTGATGTGGCAACGGCGTCCAGAGACCGGCGGAGGTCCGGGCGGAGACTGGCGGAGGCAGCCGGAGACTGGCGGCGGCTGTCGGCCGGCGATGGTCGGCGGCGAGCGACAACCAACGGCTCCAACGTTTTGGCTGTTGCAAACTTGCAGTAGGTTTTAGCAGACTTCAGGAATATTTCTGTCCATCTACAATTAATAACTCCTATTTGAGAAATTTTTTAACTTTACTCCCACTTTAGCAATTAAAGATTTATTTACTCCTATTCAGGTAAGTTTTGGTTCCCATATTCCCATGAGTCCGTCCTTTAATTTGTAGCATAAAAAATTATGAAATGTTTTTTTTGTTCCTATATTAGTTTCTTTTGACTTTTGAAACTTTAGGAGAATTATAATATTATATATTTGAGATTCTGATTTAGGAATTCATTTTTTACTTTCAACGAAGATGAATGATCGATGACACATATATTCGAGAAGTAAAGATTTTTCATATATAATTGTTTCAAATGTTTGGTTGAATACACCTCGAGAGGGATGTGTCAAACAAACATCATCACAAACATTATAGGTAGTGTTTTAAATCTCTTCTGTTGAGATTTCTCATCATTCAAATTACAGTATAATAATAGTTGGAAGCATTAGAGGAAGAATTTCACTTCACATTAATTAATTAATTAACTAACGGCATATCTAAACTCCTTAGAAGAAGACTGAGAAGAATTATTTGTGAGACCACTAATTAATAAATTCCTGCTTAATGAAGCTTGGACTTTCTTTTGAACAAGTCTTTTAAAAGTAATACACCCTTAGTGTCATTTTATATGTCTTGTTTTAGTATGACACAATTATTAATAAAGTGTTTGAAAAATTGATAGTTGTGTTTGAAATTTGAATATAATAAAGTGAAATGCTTTGGACCACATATTTTTTTCCAGAAAAGGAAATATAACACTTACTTTTGGAACAATCACAAAACAAAACACAGATAAAATGAGACGAAATGAATATATTTAGCCCACCTCACCTCACCTCACCTAGTATTAAAAAATGCTCAATGTTCCATTTATAAAAAAATCAGGATTGCAAATATTCTTTTTAGATAGGCTCTTTGCAATTTAAGTTACGTAGTACGCAGTACAATTTTAGCTACTTGGATAGAATCGGTCGATTCAAATATTTCAGGTATTACTAGCTAGCTAGGCATATGCCTTTTTTTTTTATTTGAATGGGTTATCTGGCATGCATTATTTCATTTTTTTCCCCTATGACAATGGCTGGATGTTTTACTCTTTGCTTGAATTTCATGGAAGGTTGAGGATGTACATCATCGTTTTGTTGCAGCACTGCAACATCTTTTTGAGAAACACAAAAGGAAAGTTGGCCATGGTGATCGAGTGCTAAAAATTCTTTAAGCTGTTATGGCCATGGTGATCGAGGAAAGTTATTATCTATTTACCTGTTTGCAACATCCACAAATGGGCAAGGTGTTATGGGAGTACGCGTTTGTGTAGTATATTTTTGCAATTATACTTTTCAGGAGTGGTTTCTTGAAAAATTATATGAGGTGTTAGTTCATCAAAAGAAATTAAGAAGGGAAAACTATCAAATAAGCCCTCTAATTTACAAAAAAATGCAAATCACCTCTTACATAGGAGGCTCTGTCCAACCGTCGTCATTTGGGACGGTTCCAGGTGGAAGTTTCTGATGAAATTTGTTCAGCATCTAATTCATTAATTAAGTCTAGTTTACCCATACCAAATTTCAGCTAAAAATTCAATCGAGAAGGACAAATGAATTTTTGAAAATAAATGTGCAGTTCAATATTGTAGTATATTTTAGAAAATCATTTGACTGCCTTCCCCGTTAAATTTTTAGCTGAAATTTGGTATGGCTAAACTAGACTTAATAAAGAAGATGCTAAAAAAAATTCATCAAAAAATTTCACCGAAAAACCTCGCCAAATGACGACGGCCGGACATAGCCTCCTATATAAAGGGTGATTTACACTTTTTTTGTAAGTTCATGGGCTTATTTCATAGTTTTCTCAATTAAGAATGATAATAAAAGTATAAATTAGACTGTTTTGTGACAAAGCATTTGACTATGTAATTTTTTGATAAACTATTTTTTTTTGAACGGAAGTGATAAAATATTTTGTGCAATTACTTATTTATTTGACTTTTCCATTCTTCAAGTCGTCAAAATGGTAAAAGTTTGATTTGTACCTTGAGCAAAAAGCCTCTTTAATTTAATTTAGATTATATTTGGCACAACTAGCTTGAACAGGAGGTTAATGTCTGAATTATGGAATGTTGTCTGAATCAGAGACTATTGTCTGGAAATAAAATTTGAAGTGTTGAATCTGAATTACCAGTTGAATGGAGTAGACCCGTTTGGCAAAAAGAACTGAAAAACACCTTAATAATATGAAATACATTAAAGGGCATATAATTTAGGAATAGAGCAAACTATTTATTATAATGCTTTTTATGATTTAACAAATAATAAAATTGTAGTATATGCATAGTATGTTTTTGTAAGTATACGTGCGTTAGGTGTGTGTATATATATACACATACTCCGTATATAATTGATAGTTCTGGATTTATAAATACATATTTACATCCTCCCAAAAAAAATACATATTTACATACTCTGCATAAATATATGATTTCAAATCACCTCTTCCAACCTAACCCAAAAGTATGTGGCGCTGTAAGACAACACGGTGTATGATAACTACTAGAATAGATGATTGAATTCAGAATGTCGATTTTCATTAATAATAAAAAAGTAAATTTGTGAAACTAAACTCGATTTTCACCAAATATGAAGAAGAGCTTCACATGGGAAAGATTAGAATAGAAATGTGGAATTTAAATAAATAATAAGACAAATTTCAGAGGAATCGTAGTACACAAATAATGAGGAGGAGAACACTGATAAGTAATTAATCTGAAAACGTTATTGGCCAAAGAAAATCAAGAAGAATAAATCCAAATGAGAAGAGAAGGTGATCCGTGCGCAGGGTTAAAAGGTTACGTTTAGCTGGATTTAAAAATTTCTGCCCATTTTGAGCTGAAATGGTGTGCCAAACATAGCCTTAGTAAATCCTGAGTCCAGTTAATTGTATTATTAGTAATTTGTCCGAGTCCGAATGAAGTTTTTTTTAGTTTTATTGATAGAGTATTATTAGATTTGATATTTAGTAATAGAGTATTAACTCTATTACTTCTAAAATAGAGTAAGAGCTAATAAAAGAATATAAACTCTTATATTCGATCAGAATGAAAAACATATACTATTATTATTTATTAATGAATTTCCTATATCCTATTTAGGATATTATTATTAGTTCTATAATTTGTAATTAGGAGTGGTTCGGTACGGTATACCGAAGATTTTATCTCATACCTTTATCATACCGTAAACTTTCGGTATGCAAAAATACATACCATTACCATACCTAAATTTCGGTATACCTTGTTTCGATATACCAAGATTTCGGTACGGTAAGCTACGGTATCGGTAAATTATCATGATTTAATATCAAATATTATATATCAAATGAAATATAGAAAATCAGTGTTAATAGTGATATACTAAAATTATTAATGAAATTAATTATAAAATGCCAATGATAACCTATTTGTGTTCTATTCAACTTTGAACGAAAAAAATTATAAATATGTACATATACTTCAACACATCATATATGAAGATAACAACACATTCTGCTAAAATAATAATTTAAACAACATAAATATATTTGAAATAACATCGATCTCCAACAAAAATTATAAATAATTCAAGAAACATGGATATAAAGTCATTATCCTTGAATTAATGTTGTGTTTCTAGTTATTTTTATAATTTTAAAGAAATTATTGGTTTGGAATTACGGTATGACGGTATACCATTTATTTCCAAAATATATACCGATACCATATCGAAGTAATTCGGTAAGTATCATACCGTACCAAAAGTGTCGGTATACCAAGCACTTCGATAAATTCGGTATTTTTCGATATGGTAAGTTCGGTATACTTGGATATTTTTTCTCCCTATTTGTAATTGTGCCACATCGAAACTTGATTTGTCAATATTGTTGAGCAGTGGTCCGAAATTGGTCGCCAAAGGCACACTAGTATAGTACTCCGTATATTGCTTGCGAGTAATATACGGAATATTTAGAAAACGATGTCTGATTGTGTACATGCCCCACGGTCCATTTGGTTTTCGACCGCTGGATTTAATTAAAGAGAATAAAAAAATGTAAAGTGCAGTTCACATATTCAATTTTGCAACACCATGATCAGTCAAGCTGGTCTAATCCAGCGGATTCTATTTTAGGAAGAAGTGCTTCCTGCCTATTTAGGAATACAATAATCTTTTCTCGTTTACTAAATTTTGACTCTTTTCTGGTTTACTACATTTTGACTTTTATAGAAGTGATATTTTTAATTATTCACTTAGGGTAGGACCACTCCAGCTTCTGCTTCTGATACCTGAAGGAGCAGAATCAGTTTTGAGAATCAGATCCAAACACCCTCTTCCTTAACTTGAAAACCTACATTTTTGTACTGCCGATTTCAAGAGCTAGTTTGCAATCCATTTCAAGCTTTGAAGTTCAATCTCCAAATCCAAATTAAACACTACGGCCAAAGCCTCCTCAAGTCAAACTTGAGATCAATAAACAAAAAACCTCCAAAAAGGTCAAGATTGTTAACTCTTAAGGTCGCAAAGCTCCAAGTTAAAGTTGGTCAAAGTTTTTAAAATGACGAAGTATTTTGGGATGAGGTAGTATAACAAGAGTGATTTATCATAAGAAATATTAATTGAAAATCATCTTTAAAATGCCCTTAATGAAATCCCAATTCCTAAATCTTTCTATATCATGTGTAATAATTAAATAAATGAATGAATAAATAAATACGGAGTAATAAATAAATAATACCAGTATTCATTCATAAATAAAAGTTCAAAATTTTGACTGGCCGATAGTCCAGCCGCCAGCGCGCCAACCGGCAGACGCCCAACCATTTCTATAAGTAGTGTACCATTTCAGTTGATTTCTTCTCGTTCAAATCCGGCGAACGGCTTGTATCCATTAAGAAAGTGCAATTTGTTCCGCTGATTTGCCGGAATGGATGTTCGCCGGCGATCAAGCAAGCCTCTTTACCAAGGAAATTCCCTCACCCCCGACGAACCGCACAAACAGAAGAACTCTTCCAAAGCATCATCCGCCAATGCCTCCGACGCAGTCACCCTCTCCCTGTACGCAGCGAATGGAGTATTCTTCACCATGTTCTTCTCTGTGATGTACTTCCTCCTCCAGCGCTGGCGCGAGAAGATCCGCAACTCCACCCCCCTGCACGTGGTAACTCTCTCGGAGCTCGCGGCTTTGCTTGGGTTGTTCGTGTCCACGATTTACCTTCTAGGGTTTTTCGGGATCGGATTTGTTCATTCGTTTATCTTCAAGGATTTCTGGGACGAGATGTACATACTGGAAGAGGACAGCCGTCGAGGGAGCTGGCCCGCTGCCACCACTGTCGGCTGCTCCGTACCCGCACCACCACCTGCTCGGAAAATTGCCGCAGAGGTCCCTCAGCATCCAGCGAAGGTAAACATGACGGCGTCTGAGAAGCCTGCTCCCGTAATCACACCAGCCTCATCAGACAAGGATGAGGAGATCATCAGATCTGTAGTGGAGGGGAAAACGCCTTCATATTCATTGGAATCCAAGCTTGGAGACTGTAAACGCGCTGCTTCCATTCGACGCCATGCCCTGGAGAGGATTACTGGGAAGTCACTGGAGGGGCTTCCGCTTGAAGGGTTTAATTATGAGACCATTCTGGGGCAGTGCTGTGAGATGCCAGTTGGGTACGTGCAAATTCCAGTGGGAATTGCAGGGCCATTGTTGCTTGATGGGAGAGAGTACTCTGTTCCAATGGCCACCACCGAAGGATGCCTGGTCGCCAGCACCAACCGGGGTTGCAAGGCTATAGGTGCTTCCGGTGGTGCCTTTAGTGTGCTTCTCAAAGATGGAATGACTAGAGCTCCAGTTGTGAGGTTTGCCACTGCCAAGAGGGCTGCAGAATTGAAGTTCTTTGTTGAGGATCCTTTGAACTTTGAGACTATTGCCGCAACCTTCAACAAGTGAGATTCACTCTTAATATCTCTTTTTAATTTATACGAAGTATGATGCAAGTTATTGAAATGGTATTGTTTCATGCCTGCAGATCAAGCCGATTTGGCAGATTGCAAAGCATTCAGTGTGCAATAGCTGGGAAGAATCTTTATATGAGGTTCACCTGCAGTACTGGTGATGCCATGGGTATGAACATGGTCTCCAAGGGGGTGCAAAACGTTCTTGATTTTCTTCAGATCGAATACCCTGACATGGATATCATTGGCATATCTGGTATACTCTCTCTCTTGATAATTGAGTATTTGGTGTATAATAATAGTAGTATAATTAATACTCCATATTACCTCTTCCTTATCCTTATAGTCTCAATTGTTTATCTATTTTTTAATCCATCTCATTAAATGATTCTAACTTCAATGTCAATCTCAAATTCACTTTCTTTTATAATCTCATCACCTCCTATCAGTAGTTTTTTAAATTTAGATTTAAGAGATACATAAAAATTTGGCTGAAGGGTCAAATAGACCCATATACATGTTAGATTTGCTCAAATTAGTCCCTAAACTAATGAAAGCTCCAGTTTGTACCATAAACTTGTAAAAATCAAATTTCATTTCCTACGGGTAAAATTTCAATTGTGCATCTGACGTAAAACATTTGGGGCTTATTTGGACATTTCATTTCCTCCGTCAGCATGTACCAATGATGTGGCGCTTAATCAGATGATAGCCCGTGAAAATAAAATTTGAACTTTCTTTTTAATAAATTTAGAATGCGAATTGGAGTTTTTTTTGTTCAAGGGCCGAATCGAGTAAACGTGGCGGATAAATGGTCTATCGATCCCTTAGCCTAAAAATTATGTCCCACAAAGATTTTTCATAATTGACTTTTTCAACTAAGAATGTCACACTTTTTCTAATACTACTTATATTTTTATACAACTTGATTTGTAACATGAGGTACTATAAAAATGTTCTTAATTAAAAGTGCCTTTACAAAAGTGCAAAAATTTATGATTTCTCGCTAGAATATATTGATAAAAGCAACAGTAAAAGTTAATTTTTTATCGAAAAAGGTGAAATATGACAGATCTTTGTAGGAAGGAGGGCGTAATAATTTTTCTAAAATATGATTCATCCAATCTTAGAAAAGAAGAATTATCACTTCTATTACTCCTAGAGCTCTAGGCCCGCAATTATTTAGAGAAAAAAGAATGATGCTATTAGTACAAATAACTCATGTTTTACTCATATTTGCTATCATTTCTTTTTAAGAGAAAAGGTATAGATATACCTTTGAAATATATGTTTGAGAATGAATATATCCCTCAGTTTTTATTTGGAATAATTAAGCAAAAAATGAATTTAGAAGAAAATATCCAAATCGTTAAGGGGTTTATATGTTTTGTGATATATAGTTGAGCGGTTTATATGTTCTTTAACATACAGTTCAATGGTATATTTGTTTGAAATTTTAATATAATATATACTTTAACATTCAATTTTCAACGTGATTTTTAATGAGTCATGTGGGAACAGTCTCTGTGTGAGTACAGACACAAGGTTGTTTACGTCTGAACCTCCTTACCCTACCGCAGGTGGGAGTCTTTGCGGCATTGAGATAATGTTGTTAGTGTTGTACACATAAAGTGCAATTGTATATTTGTTCCTTACCCCTTATTTTTAATTGGCGGAGTTGACTGATAGATAGGAATGAATAAATTAAACAGGGAACTTTTGCTCAGACAAGAAACCGGCAGCAGTGAACTGGATTGAGGGGAGAGGCAAGTCGGTTGTATGTGAAGCAATAATCAAGGAAGATGTGGTGAAGAAAGTGTTGAAGACTGATGTAGCTTCCCTAGTGGAGCTGAACATGCTAAAAAACTTGACAGGTTCTGCATTGGCTGGCGCTCTTGGTGGTTTCAATGCTCATGCAAGCAATATTGTCTCTGCTGTATTCCTAGCCACCGGCCAGGATCCAGCTCAGAACGTTGAGAGCTCTCACTGCATCACCATGATGGAACCGGTCAATGATGGCAAGGACCTCCATGTCTCTGTGACCATGCCTTCGATTGAGGTATTACATTCCCTTCCTTTTCTTCTAAGTCCCATTCATATTGGTGAAAGGTGAATTCTGAGCTATTAGCAATAACAGTTGGTGAATAACATGGCATTTGAGTGAACAAATTAGTAACGAGTCTATATGTAACATGTCAAATGTGAAACTTAAAGTCACACTTCTATCTTAAAAATATGTCAGTGGTTGCTTTTCCAGACAGACATAATATATATATTGTCATTATATTCAGGTAGGAACTGTTGGCGGGGGGACTCAGCTTGCATCTCAATCAGCCTGCTTGAACCTACTGGGAGTGAAGGGAGCAAACAGAGTGTGTCCTGGCTCAAATGCACGGCTCTTGGCAACCATTGTGGCTGGTGCAGTTCTTGCTGGGGAGCTATCCCTTATGTCTGCCATTGCCGCAGGACAGCTGGTCAAAAGCCACATGAAATACAACAGATCTGATAACAATATCACAAAGGTATCCTCTTGATGTGATCTCTTCTTGAGGGCCCGGACATACTCTCCGCTAGTCCTTTCCTGTTTATATTCAAGTGGATCATCATATGTACTATACTGTATGGTTGAATAATGAATGAGATCTAGTTCGGAATAAATTCAGCTCTCTGTGTATGGTCTTAAGGAGTTCAGATGAGTATTTGTACTATATGTTTTAACTGTATCTGTTTGCATGTGTTATACACTTATACATGATTGTCGGCAATTTGGAAATGGACTATTTCATCAACTAGATGGACGAGGAATTATTTTCTATTATAGATATGGTTGGTTTGATCTATTGTTATGAAGTGATGTTTAGTTGGTTACTACTCCCCAAACTTAATCTATACATGGTATATATTCAAGGATATGCCAAGCTGGACAAATTAGATAGGGGGCGATGGCGGGCCTCCGCAATTTAATTTGGGTTTATAGGTTAGCTTGGGCTCCTACATCTAAATACATTAAGCTGCAAAAATTAGAAGGGAATTTTTCGCAAGTAGCCTAAAGAGCAAAAGTAATATCACGTTTTTTCACTTTTAAAGTTTCTTTCACAAATGGACTATTAAATTTCCCTTTTCAAAAATAGACCTTGTGCTTAGAACCAATCCAGCGGAACCTATTCTCCAAAGAGTCGTGCGTGTCCAGTAGACTAGCTTCCTCCCTAAACCCCATTTGTTAAATTTATACAATCTCTATAGAAAATGTAAATATTTATTACTGTAAAAAAGATGAAGATCATTGAAAAATAATAAAAGTATAAATATAATAAAAAAAGTATACGATTTAAAAAAAAAAAACTTGAAAACAAACAAATAAAACAAAGTGTAAATTAGTTGAAGTGTGGGGAAAATGTAAAAAAGGTTCAAAGTTTAGTTTTTACATTGTAGTTTTATTAAATAGTTAATATGATTCATATAAAAAACATAAAAATAGAAATTTTCATAAAATGTATAAAATGGTTAAAAAATTAAAATAACTTATAATTATAAACAAAATATTTGAAATGAATTAAAAATAATTTTAAATAGTTTAATATTATGAAATATTATTAAAAAGTAATAAAATATATTTTTTACGGAATGAAAAATAGTTTGTTTGAAAAAAAATCATATTAAAGAATAAAAATCAGATAAATATATAAATTTTAAAAATATTCAAAACATTTATATTAAATTTATATAATAATAAAATATGTATATCACATAATTTTTTTTAGTAAAATACAGTATATAAAACTATAAAGAGTTTGAAAATTAAGGTCCCTTAAATAGTGCAAAATGCAAATAAACTAAGAAGGAAAAAAAAAGAAATTAAAATAATAAACATGAAAAAAATTCAAAACTAGAAAATACTTGTTTTTAATGTAATGTTTCTTAAAGTACATAAAATTTGAATTATTATTGTTATTATAATCATTTTATTTTTAGTTTTTTTTGCATAAGGTTTTTTTTGTTTCTTTTTGTTGACAATTTTGGAATTTTTGTTTTTAATTGTTTCAAGTTGTTTTTCATATTCACAAAATGAAAGTATAACATTTTCGATCTTTGCATCTAAAACTAAATAGATATTTCTATGTTAAGGATGTAGAAAAATAAACAAAAATCTAAATAAACAAAAATCTGAATCAATAATACAAAAAATGTGGTAATAAGAAACACGGTGCAACAAAAAGTAACAAGATGCAACAAAATGCAACATAATGCAACAAAATGTAAGACACATGGTACAACAAAAGGCAACAAAAGTAATACTACGAGTATATAATAATATCACGACAAGTATATTCCTAGACTGTAAACAAGTCTGAAAAAACATAATAGGACAAATAAGCCATGCCAAAGTATACGGATCCTCCTAGTTAGGGAGACATTACTATGTGTGTATAAATTAATGAATGAAGCATCCAGTATGACCATATCTTGGCATGTGCCTCCTATGGCAAAGCACAACATTCCTTTTGGAAGCTCAGGCTGCTCAAATGGACAGCAAAGTGTATTTGATGCACCCATCTTCCCTTTTATCTGTGCCTTCACATCTTTCTCAACAACCTTTTCATCACACCAAGGAGCTAAGATTAACTTCTGGTCATCATTCAGAGCTTTCACAAACTCATTCCATATGTTTTGCAACATTGAAGAGATTTTGTTGAATGGCAGCGAGCATGCCTTTCACATCCTCAGCCATGCTTCCCTGGGAATATCAATTTTAGCAGCGTTATCACGCCTTACAACTCTTAGTTGTTTATTAGCAAGTAAAATACATGAAGTTGAAATTAAGAGCATATGGATGAAGGGATACCAGTTCCTAATGATCTGTCAAAGAGAGTAAACCTAAGGATAAATTTAGCATCCAATTCCCTGCAAAGTTGAACACAGAGTATATGGCTGGGGGGAACCAAATTCTTGCTAAAATCTTTTCTTGCTTCAAGTGATTCTGCATTCTTTATTTATTAAGAGTTATAATATTTTTTAATAGTTATAATATTATATTTTTATCATCATTATATTATCAAGAGTTATTTGGCACGAAAAGGCTAAGTCTTCTGAAATGAAAGTATTTGCTACCATCCATTTTAGCCAATTAAATAAATCAAAAGGCAAGCTACTTATTCTGCTTCCCCTAATAACACTACTAAACAGAGCCTGATGTATTACCTGATCTGCCACCGCATATAAGATTGTAATTATGCATGGTAGACAACAGCAAACAGCAATTCCAATAATACATGCAACTGCAACATAAAGAACACATCAAATGCCAAGAATGTAATACAAAGCCTGCAAAAATAATCAAAACAACTTTTATCATCATTATATTATTATTATTATTGTTTCATAATATTTCTTAGTGTTGCTTTTTGTTTATTTTTAAAGAAAACTTTCAATGTCAAGAAAAAACATTACCTAGCATTTTGTATCACCCCCCCCCCCCTCCATGACCAAAGCAAAAGACAAACCACTAGTCAACAATTGCATATGAGTACCATACAAAACTCCCAAGGTAGCACTAGACAACCAATGAAACAATCAAGGCACCACCACAAAAATCAAGAAAATCTGTAGGATATAGTCTAAATAATACCTTGGACACCAAGACCTAATCTGCAAAAATTACAGTAATCACCTTATGAACAACAATAGCCTCATTCATAGGCATATGGCAATCCGTATTAATCTACATACAATATTGCCAGGTGAACAGGCAAATCGTATTTCCTCAGAGTAATATGTGAACCAAGATTATCTCAAAGTACATGTATGAAGAATCCTCATTAATCCAGGTGAACAGGCAATCCAAATTACCTCAAGATTACCTTATGAACAACAATAATCTCATTAATCTGTAGGATATTGCCGAATAAAACTAAAAGCTCAAATGAGAAATTTAAAGAAGTTCCGGCCAGTCCAAAAAGCTACTGCTAAATTTGGAAATACCATATGATGGTGAATCTAAGAAGAAAAATATGATAATTGAGTTTAATGTAAGATTAAATACTAGTCTGGAGAAAATACGAATCTGAGATGTAAACCGCAAATGTGAATTTGAGATTATCGCACATGAGCAGTATAGCAAATACGAATTGAGATCTAAAACCCAAAACCTATGAACAAAGCAATAAATCCAAGCCATACTGAAGATATATTGATTAAAATACACACCGAAGGAGTCTAGCAAGGAGAGGCAGAGGGCGGAGCTGCGGAGCCGGGGAGGCCGGAGGGCGCAACCGGCGCTGGGCAAGAGCGGAACCGGAACAGCCGCGCACGCTCTCTAACTTTTCTGGTTAAGCACTTCGATCAGCGGTGAGATCGTCAGAGTGGTCGATTAAGGAGTGAGGATCCAGGCTGCCAACAATCGACGATGAAAGTTCTGTGTGTTTGGATTTAAGATTTAGGCTATTTTTGAAATAAAAAATTAAAAGTGTAAAGATAAAAGTTAAATATGAAAAGTAAATTATGACGGAACATAACTGAAATACATTTAGGAGAAGTGGACTTCACGGGATATTTCCACAAATTAGAATGAATCAATCGAATTGCACCATTATTTACATTAACTAAATATTGGGAAAATGGTCACGTAGGCCATCGAACTTATATAAACAGGTCAAATAAGCCCTTATATAGGAGGTTTTGTCCGGCTGTCACCATCTGGGGTGGTTTCCGGTGGAATTTTTGATGAATTTTTTTGAGCATCTTATTCATTAAGTCTAGTTTACTCATACCAAATTTCAGCTAAAACTTCGTTCGGGAAGGCATTCAAATGAATTCTTGAAGATAACTGCGCAGTTAAAAGCGCATTTATCTTCAAGAATTCATTTGAATGTCTTCCCGATTGAATTGTTAGCTCAAATTTGGTATGAGTAAGCTAGACTTAATGAATAAGATGCTCAAAAAATTCCACCAGAAACTGCCCCAAATGGCGACGGCCGGACAGAGCCTCCTATATAAGGGCTTATTTGACCTTTTAATGTAAGTTTGAGGGCCTATTTGACCTTTTTCCCTTAAATATTTGTAGAGGCTAGAGTTGTTATTCACTCATTCTGCTAACTTAGTTAATGCTTTTGAGCGTATAGTACTGTCTAATGACTAGTATTGCAGAACAATCATTCTTGTTGTACCTACTATTACACACACCCTTATACTCACCTCTATGAAGTCTTTTTTGTTTGTGAATCTCGTACACAAACAAAATATGTCTTATTTTGTCCGTGCAAATTTGCACAGACAAAATAAAACAATGTGTATGTGAATGAGGTTCACAGACAAAAAAGTCTTTCATAAATATGGTGGGAGTAAAAGTGAGTATAAGGGCGGATACAAATATAATTTTGACGTGGGTTTTGCTATTTTAAAGGAAAGAGAGGAAATAGTTATGATAAAAGGGATAGTGAGTTATTATAGGTTCTACTCCGTATAATGAATAGAAGTTTAGGTGGTAAAGATTATGCAAATGTTGACCTTCATAAGTTCGCATATGATGTGATATGAAAGTTCATTTTGAGATTAAAAGTAGTAGCGAATGGGTAATCACCATTTTGTCTCGATTCATTAGTTCATTGTGTTAAGTCTCATGGAGAAGTTTTGTAAACTTGTAGTTAATTAAACTATCTTAATCCTTATTCCTTGAAGCAAGAAGGAAGTTGCTAATGATTTTTGACATTTGCTAGTAGAGAAAGGTGATTCTCTTTTAGTTGGCTATGATGTACGAGACATAAATGCTGAATTAGTTAGCAAAATAGAAAACAAAAAATCTTTTGATGGTTGTGATGTTACAAATGTTCTTAATGAGTCTAATTTAAGTCTCATATCAGATCGAACATAGACATAACTAAGATACATATAAACACAAATATCAAACAAAACTAGACCAATTCAAAAAAAAGATCAGATCAATCATATTTAAACAGACCAAATTCAATTAAACCCAATTAATACATAAACTACTTTTTTAGAATCATGCAATCAAATGTAGAAAAATATCTATTCTTTCGAGACAGATATTAATGGTTCTTTAATTAGCTTTTTTGGAGAGACAAAAAAAAAATGAGGGATGCTTGCTTAGTATTTGATGATACAACTTATCGCACAAACACAAACAAGTACGACATGATATGTGGATCATTATCCATACTTTTATGTTGGTTATGATTTTTTGTTCATTTTAGATTCAATTTTCAAATTATAATAAAAAAGAGTATGTAATTTTTAAAGTTCATCCTATGTAGCACAAATATTTGACTAGAGTATTGTATCACATATCAAAAACATCCTCATATCAGATACTCTAGGATGTTTGTGCCATATGTTCCCCGCTCACATCTGTAATTTATTAAAAGATTCCAACTTTTTTGGTAATTATTTTAAAATTTAGATACATATATCAACTATTTTTATAAAGAATACATCCAAAAATTAAATAACAAAAGTATTAAAAATATTTATTAAAAGTTTTAGTTTTTATTAGAGAATTGTTTTCTATCTTAAATGAGAATTGTTTGACTTGTTTCTCGTTTCAAATTAGTGACTCGTTACCTGTGTTTATATTTTGAGGTGGATTGTGTATGTGAGATTAAATATGAATTTATTTCTAACTATCTTAATAATATGAATGTTTCAATCATTCAATGTCTTCAATGAGCATGGAATAATACATGTATCTATTTTTTTAAAAAAACTTGTAATTGTTAATTGATAGAGTATTAAATTCTAGAGAGAAGTGAGAGCTAGTGAGCGAAAGTGAGTAATTAATATTTCTCAACCCCCTATAACTACACTTAGGGGCTATTTATAGGAGTAAATATGGATTTGGGCTCCTAGCCTTGGGCTTATGAGGCCCATTAGAATAATCATGTCTCTTTTGGGCGAAATAAGGCCACTAATGGGCTGAGTACAATACTTAGTGAATCAGGTAGAAAAATACATTCTGCCAGGGTAGTCTCTGGCTGATCCAGTGTCTTTGGCCGATGCGGTCCCCTGGCCGATGTGATCCCCCGGCCGCTAAGGGACCCACTTTGTCTCCATGCAGCATTCTGAGTGATCCCGGTTTTGGCCGATGCGGGATCCACTTGTGCGAAGGGCACCACATGGATGTTGCTCTCTGGTGTCTTTGACCTTTTGAGTATGTGGGTCATGGGGCCTGAGCTCATATACTCTATCATTAATATTTATAATACTTAATGTTTATAAATAAATCTCCATAACTTTTAATATTTGTACATCTATATTTTGTACAAATATTAAGAATATGGATTTGTACAACTATTTCGTATCTCAAAATACAACAATTCTTTATGCATTTCAATGTTAGCCCATAAATGCATTACAATAATATTTCATAATTAAATAAGTGGAAAAAAAATATTACCCTAAAAAGAGTAATTGTACATTCAAATAATCTATATCTAATATCCAAGTTTTCGTGGTCCACTCTTGAAAAAGAGATTTACAAATACGAAAAATATCGTACTTACCAGGGCCGTCTCCATCAGTTTTGACGCCCCCGACAAAAAAAATTTGATGCTTCAGACAAAAAAAGACTAATGAGATCTAATAGCACTTAAAATTAACAACACGATTAAATATGAAATAAATAGAAAATTATAACACCATTTTTACTAAATGTAAAAGGTATTACTTGAATTAAAATTGATATAAAGTATGAAAATATAAATTCTTCTAAGAAATAAATAAAACTATAAAAGTACTACTCCCTTCGTCCCCCTATAATTGTCCAATTTTTTCATTTTGGGATATCCCCTTATTACTGTCTCATATCATATTTGGTAACATTTTGTGGCTCTAATTCATTCTTACTTTATTCTCACTTTATCAACTCATTATTAATCACATAATTCTACTTTTCTTAAAAACCTCACCACTATCTTCGATCCCAATAATAGGGGACGGAGGGAGTACATAATAACCTATTCTTCTAGATTTTGATGTGCAAAATTTGTAAGTACATCACTACAATCAAAAGTAGATAACACTCTTTTTTTTACATACCTATCCATTGAACCTGCAAAAGATTGCATTATTTCATTTCTTTCTTTCTTAAGTTTTCTCTTTGAACCTCTGACTCTTATTTCCGTTTCCCCATCATAGTACACACTACGAAATAATAATTTCGCACTAATTAGTCATATTGCAAGTTAGTAAATATGGAAATACTATTTAGTTAAAAAATTAAAAGAACAAGTTTCAGTCTAAATTTAATAGACGAATAACTTCAAATAAATTTGAAAAATAAAATTAAACAAAATTTCAAGTTCAATACAATTTATAAATAATAGTAGTAATTAATACGGAGTAATTTGGATGTAGATTAAGGATGTTTTTACTTGGACTGTAATTTGCCCCAGACCAGACCAGACCAGTCCAGACCAGTTCAGACTAGACCAGACCAGACCAGACTTGGATAGTTATAAAAATACAAAGAAACTAGACCTTACCAAACCAGACCAGACCAGATCAGACCAGACCAGACCAGCAAATTACAGTCCAAGTAAAAACATCCTAACTTATTTACAAATTAAAATTCCAATTATTTTTAAATTATATTACTCTATGCGAAATTGTGGTTTGCGGAAGAATTGAAGATTTGAAGAAATCAAAGTATCAAATATAACGATATCTTACTTTTTCTTGCTTGGCCGTATATACTGTTTTTTTTTATTGGGAAAACTGTCAAATAGGTCCTCGAACTTTCATAAAAAAGTCAATTAAGCCTTCTATAGGAGACTCTGTCCGGTCGTCGCGATTTGGGGCGGTTCTCGGTGGAATTTTTTGATGAAATATTTTGAGCATCTTATTCATCAAGTCTAGTTTACTCATACCAAATTTCAGCTAAAAATTTAATCGGGAGCGCATTAAAATTAATTTGAGAAAGCAAAAATGCGCAGTTATCTTCAAGAATTAATTTGAATGTGTTCCCGATTGAATTTTTAGCTGAACTTTGGTATGCGTAAACTCGACTTGGTAAATATGATGCTCAAAAAATTTCATCAAAAAAATCCACCGGGAACTGCCCCAAATCGCGACGGCCGGACAGAACCTCCTATAGAAGGACTTAATTGACCTTATTGTGAATGTTCGAGGACCTATTTGACAGTTTTCCCTTTTTTATTTTAAAAACTAGACGGCCACTCTAGGGAAATTAAATAGATTAAAGGATTATTGAAGTATTCCTAAATTCCTATTGGCTTATCTGGCCAAGCTCCATGTATTTGTGAGTATTCCTTTGTCCAATATGATTAAACTAGCTTTCAAGCCCGTGCGATGCACGGGCAGTATGTAATTTAGGTAATTTGAAATATAATTTCTATCGGATCACATATAATGTGATTTAAAAGAAAAATAAACTTAGTC